AATTTATTAATTTTTAATCAAATAAATTACTTTTTTGAACAATTTTATTTTTTTAATTTTATAATTTTAATTATTATTATTAGTAATTTATTAATAATTATTTGTTATATTTTTTCATGTATTAATATAATATTATTTCTTTTTAAATTATTATTATTATTATTATTATTATTATTATTATTATTATTATTATTATTATTATTATTATTATTATTATTTGAAATGGGGGGTCGTTTTTCCCTCCCCAGAAATGAGGAAGAGAAGCCTCTATTTGAGGTCACCCTAAAAATAGGACCAAGTTTAGGGGAACTGTTGGAGACAGCTTTTGAGAGAAAATCCCTATTTTTGAAATAAAAAAGAGAAATAGGGAGGCTCTTGGAGATGCTCTAACATCGCTAATTTTCTTCAGTTCTAAACTTCTAATAGGAACTTTTTCACCTCTTTTTTTTTTTACAAAAAAAAAATATTCAAATAGGAGTGAATATTACTGATAATATATTACCACTTTATTTTTTTAATTATTACTTATTACGAATATAACCATAATAATGAAAACCATTGTTGATCATATCGTATTTTTTTTTATTAATTCATATTGTAAGTATATATAAAATTTTATTGTTTATTTCGCTAAATCAGCTTTTGCTAAATGAAAATTCCAATCTATTATTGTAAAATACACATAATCCTTCCTTAACAGGGTGTTTTGACATTTGACCAGGTATTGCTTCAATTAAAATGGGTCAACGTAGAGTTGTTCTCGAATCTTATACTATATGACTTGAAATTGTAAAACAAATAAATAAATAAATAGGTAAATACATTTTCTATCATGTGTTTTCTGGAATAACTCAATTTAAAAATAAAAATAAAATAAAAGCCTAACTTCGAGGTTTTATTACAATTTTTGAATTGCAGGTCTCATGAGTATTTGCTGGTAATATATGATTTATTTTATTGCTCACGATTTATTTTATTTAAAAAAATAATATATAGATTCAACCTTACAGGTGCCTGGAATTATTCAATTTGTTTAGAATTAAAAAAATAAAATAAATACCAAATGTACCAGTTTGACTAAATTTTTATTTGCACTAATAAAGAGTTATTTATATAAACACGATTTATTTCTTGCTTTGCCATTTATTTATTCCACAGCTATGCCCGTGGTCCGATCCCTTGATTTTCAACTGATATTTCTACATTTTTCTTGTTTTATTCATTTATTTCGTGTTTTACTATTTAGTAGTACAATATACGTGTACAACACGAGTGTTGAGTTAAGAAATATAGGATAAAAGTTTTATATGTCTAATATTAAACCTAACTCCGGAGCAAAAAGTAATATAAAAATAGCATAGATTTCAGCCATGTCAGCATCCGTAGCGCGAGAATCTGCCACTTAAACTCAACACGTTTTGAGGTAACAACGATTAATACCATTTTTTTTATATGAAAATACTGACCAAAATACTTGATTGTTTTAATTTTAAAACATTTCATCCAATTTATCTATAGAAATTAAAAATTCTACACTTAATTTTAATATGGTTATATCCTGATTATATACTAAATAATTTTAGTAATAATCTAAGTTGATTCAGACATCATTAATTTTATTATAATGATAAATTGGATCAATATTTTTTTACACCAAATGAAATAGACGGTTAAATTGTCTAGTACTATCTCCTATTCTTTTTTTAACGTCATTTTAACATTATAAACTATTAACAAAATAAATGTCGTTTTATATATTTTGTACATATTTCTCCATTATTACCATCATCTAGTTAATAAATACACTACGTCTTTTTATATTCACTCTTCATTTTTTTTCAAAAGTTTCATCTCTATCCTCATTAATGAGGGTTATTATTAGACAAAAAAATATTCTTAATAATTGTGAAACTAAACACTTATGAATATGAGGGAATATAATTTCTTTACGGTACGAGTAGCTGATTTTTTATTTTTTTTTTAACTTATGTAATCATTCTATATTTTTCTAATTATAATTATTATTATTTTATTAATAACCATAAACACCGTCGGGACAATTACTTCATTTAATTTGTACAGGTTTTAAAAAAGCGTGTGTCGGTTAATATGACGGTCAGGCGCGTCTCTTGGTGCGCTAACCCTGTGAGCTGACGTGTCGGTTTTGTCCGAAATGGAATCTCCACCGTCCATATCATCCCTGGTTTCTTCAAACGTCGACTAAAGTCACCACATCCAACGGTGATGGTGCGACGATATTGAATCAGGACGATATCTGCTGTATCGTGAAAGCAACATGTAACTTGAATTTTTTTTTGAAATGATATTTTCCACCACTATTTTGTGAACCGGACCGGCCCAGCAGGTCGACTTGGAACCCGGTTGATCAGGAGCCGAAATCGATCTGGGTGGGTTATTTGGACCGGTCAACAACGGACCCATTAAAACTCAGTCAAAACCCGACCGACCCGAGGCATTGACCCGACTGGGTCAACCCGATTGACCCGGTCCCTATATTAATTTTTTTATTTATTTTTTATTTTTTTAATTTTTTTTCTTTTTAAAAAATAAAACTATGTATATATATTTACATGGTAAATATATACATATCATTATCACTTTAATCTACATATTTTACATACAAAATATTTAATTTTGTTATTTTTATGTATATTTATATATCACAAAATACTCTATATATAATTTTATAAATTTTATAATTAAGTACCCGGTTCAGCAATTGACCCGGTAACCCGACGGTTGAACCAGTAACCTGGTGACCCAAAGACCTGCCCGGGTCGATTACCTGGCCGGGTTTAAAAACTATGTTCTCCACACACATTAATAAACCACAAAAAGTACTTGGTAATAATTAATTAATTAGTACTTTTTTAAGTCTTTTAGTAAAATAAATCATTGTAGGTTATTTGAAACTGTTTTTAGTAAAAAAATATTTCAAAAGTATTATAAACTAAGTTTTTTTTTTTTTGGTTTAAAAAAAAAAAATTGTTTCCAAAAGGCTATTTGAAACCGTTTTTTATCGGATAATTAATTAGAGGTTTTGACTTCTAATTAATATTTATCGAAAATCATTTTTTAAGATATTAATATTTGTAAAATAAAATGAGATGATCTAAAATATAATATAAATAAAATGTATAACATTCTATAGTAAAATTAATTTTTTTCTTAAATAAAAGTATAAAGAATCAACTCGAATCCAACTAATAGTAATACGGGACTTGAGGGAGAGCTTTGCCGTTCTTGTGGTCTTACCCGGCTCGATTTCGGATTAGTCGATTCCCCTGTGGATCCAGAAACCGGAAGGTCCCTGTACAAAAAAAAAAAAATAGTAAGACTGGGACTCACACAAATTATGTCTTATTTCAACTTACAAAAATTCTATAGAGTCATCGGATGATTTTTTTATGGAGCCATCCACCATTTAATGTGTTGACACCTGTTCAAATTATAATTATTGTAAGACATGTGTCAATACACTATTGGTGAAGTGTTTTGATGGCTCCATAGCAAAAATATTTCAACTTATATCTTCAATTTACGCCTGTTTGGCACTACCACATAAAGAATTCATTGATCAAGTAAATAAATGATTGTGTACATTAGTTTAACCCACTAAGGAAATCATAAATGCATTTGGTGCTGTATTAAATGAGATTGCAGTGGTGGTAACTCCAATAAATAGGATTAACTTATAATTAAGTTGTGATCAAATGTTGATTATAATCTGTTTTTTACATCATGAATAGAATTCAAAAGTGAATTAAATTTTGAAATGAAAAAAAAAAAAAAGTGAGTTCAGTACTAGTATTACTAAAAAGACCCTATTTGACATCTATATATATATAATTGCTGGCATATAGTATTTAATAAAACATTTAATAAAACCTCCATTCATTTTTTCGCTCATTTTTTCAATTAATGTGGAACCGTTACATTTTACATTAATAAAGTGTAATCATAATTTTAATATAATTTATTTACTACTAACACTAATTGATTACAACTTTACATTAAATAGTATGTGGAAGTTATGCAATTTTTTTCTTTAAAATACTTTTTCTAAAATAAAATATTTTTGTTCTTTTTAAGCGATTTTTATATAATTAGTTAATTGGCATGAGTGTCATAATTAAACACCTTAAAATCACATAAACGGATGATATAACAATGATAAAAATAATTGTAATACTTTTCTAACTAATTAATTGTATGGTCACTCTAAATTACTAAATTATATTAGCCATTAACATTTATGGTATCAATATAAAGATTCATACGTAAGTTAAATAAATTATATTCACATTACACATTTGCATGTAGTCGAAATTTAAAATGTAATACATCAATTATTTAATATAAAATTTGTATATATTGTATACATAAATATAATATTTAAATTTTTATTTTTCTTTGTGCATGTGCACATGATGAATACTAGTTTAATCAAATAGCCGATAGCAAATAAGAGACCAATATATGGCTTGAAAAAATACTACGGATTAGATCATCATGTAACCGTCGGAGATAGTTAAATTAGCGGTTACGAACCCCGATAAAATAAATCCGTAACAAGAACGTAGCATTTCCTTATGGCTTGAAATACCGAAGTTAAAATTTAAAATAATAAAGAAAGAGGGTTGAATTTTAAATTTGAAGTCCTAACACTAATTCAAATTATAACCACATGTGAAAAAATAATAATAATAATAATGATAATAGTAAAATAAAAGAGGACTTAATTCCTTCAACCAAACATGGCATTAGTTTATTCAATTTTGGAGAAGCCGAAAACTACTCTATTTATCTTCTTCCTCCTCATAATAATAGTGACAACAAGAATCAATCCAAAGTACCTTTAGATTGAAAAAACACTCAATCTCCCCATACTTTCTCTCTCTACAAACCACAACAAAAAAAACGCACTAAATTCTCCTTCTCTTAATGCGCAGATTCCTTCCCTTAGACAAAATATTCCTATGAATTCCGGCTTCCCCGGCGGCTTCCCGGACTTCTTCTCCAGCGGCCGCGCTCTGCCCTCCACCATGAGCGGCGGTGCTTTCAACGCGAACCTCAACTCCCAGCAGCAATTTTCCTTCCGCTCGCCGCTCGCAGGGCTCCCACCCGACCGGACGGCCCAGATCCGCCGACCCGACTTCATCGGGAAGAGGTCGCTCGCCGAGTTCCAGCAGCAAAATCAAGGGCTGGGATTCTATCCGCGGAACGTGAAGCAGAGGCCCGCCGGCAGCTACCCGGAGATGTTCTCCGGCAACCCACGGTACGGCCTTTCGATCCTAAATCACCACCGCCTGCAGCCCCTGTCAATATTAAACAGAAACGGCGGCAATAATGGGTCGGTCGGGGCTCCGAATCAGATTCCGGGTCCTAACATGAGGTTAGGTGCGAGTAGTTCGAGTTCGGGTTCAGGCCAGGAGGAGTCTGCCAGAGATCAGTCGGAAAAGAGCTTGATGATGAGCCACAAGCTGCAGGAGCTCGAGAAGCAGCTTCTCGGCGACGACGACGACAGCGACACCGTCGCCTCCGCCGTCACCGACAGCAAGTGGTCTGACGCGATACAGGGCCTGATCGGCCCGGACCGAAAGCCCATCTCCCCTTCTCCGACCTCCTCGTCATCTTCCTGTTCCTCCACATCGGCCTCTCCGCCGCTGCCATGTGCAAAGCAGGCCCTCGTCGACGCAGCCGCCGCGATCTCCGACGGCCGTCCGGAGGCTGCCGCCGAGATGCTCGCCCGCATCCTCCAGCAGGTGGCGAACACGCGGGGGACCCCCGAGCAGCGGCTCGCGGCGTACATGGCGGCGGCGCTAATGCCGCGCGTGGGCCCGGCGAGGCCGGCGCCGGAGACCCACGGGAAGGAACACGCGGCGGCGGCGCAGATGCTGTACGACGCCTCGCCGCCCTTTAAGCTCGGGTTCATGGCGGCGAACCTGGCCATCCTGGAGGCCACGGCGGAGCAGGGGCTGGGGAGGAGGATCCACGTCGTGGACTTCGACATCGGGCAGGGCGGGCAGTACGTGCACCTGCTCCACGCGCTGGCGGCGAAGGTGAAGGCGGCCGAACCCCCGATGCGCGACGGCGCGTCTCTGAAGATCACGGCCGTGGTAGACAACTTCAACGCCGGCGCCGCCGCGGACCATAAATTGAACATCATCGGCGAG